GAGAGAGAGAGAGAGAGAGAGAGAGAGAGAGAGAGAGAGAGAGAGAGAGAGAGAGAGAGAGAAATAGACACATCCACTTCGCTATGCTATGCTTTCCACGGGAAAGGGTTAAGAGCGAACTTGGAATAATAGAAAACGAATATTATATCATCTTTGATGAGTGATAACGCGCTTAGAATCATTATCGACGATCGCAGCTGCTTCCCCCTTCCGTGAATGATGTAACGTTAAAAAGAGGGAGAAAGAGAGAGAGAGGAAAGGGCGGAAGGCAAAGAAAAGAAAGGAAAGAGAAACAAAAGGAAAGGACAAACAAAAAGAGCGAAGCGGAGAGAGGGGAAGGAGGAGAGACATAAAAATGCATATCGGCAGCGGGTACAATGAGCACGCACGCACAACAGTTTTTAAGGAGAGTAAGCGAGTGTGTATAAATGTGTGTGTGTGTGTGTGTGTGTGTGTGTGTGTGTGGTATGTACAGACCCGTGTGTATGTGCGTGTGTGTATGTATATATACGTGCGAGCTCGCACACATTGTTGCTCTAGTTGCTGCACCCATTGATATAGCGACGACTTGTGGTACTTTTTTTCGCGACGGCCAATAAACATTTAGCATTAATTTATTGTAACGTACATTTCGCCGCTTGCGGTAGCCACTATCGCGTTCGCTCGTTGCTTTACGTTGACCGTGAGAAGAGAAAAGAAGGAAAAAAAACATCACGAAGAAGAAGAAGGGGGTTGCCAGATGTCCGAATTTCTCGCGAGGCGAGCTTTTCGCGCTCTCGCGCGCCCCTGCTCGGCTCTTTTATATTTATATGCCGCGCTTCTACCCCTATCAACGCGCGCAGAACCATTACACACCGACACCATGATCAGGCGAAATTAAATAATCAATATTGATCTGAGCTATTTGCGCGCGCGCGCTTACTCGCGTTTATATAAAAGTGTCAGGTGTATTTTTACACGTCGGTTAATTTAGTATAACGCGAAACTTTTATTTTCTCTATTTATCAATGCCGTTATTTGCCGGCGCTATTATTAACATCACGTGTCGGGTCTTGGTTCGCCGCGTGGCGAACAACCTCGACGTTCCGCGCATTCGCACGGGGCGCGCTGCGGCATGTGCGCTCGCGAAAACGTTTCAAGGACCTGCCCGAGGATCACCAAGGACCTGGCAATCCCGTTCGATTCCCGAGGCTCTCGCTCGGGCTGCCTTCTCCAAGCGCGTTTTCCGTTCCGGTTCTATCGTTGTCCACTTGCCGGGTCGAGGGTGGAAGTCCAAGTTTTTCTAATACCAAGTTTTCTAATATTGTAGCAACGGTTAATCGACAACGCGACGTGCGGGACGTGCGAGTACGAGCCTCGAGTCGGATCCGAATCGTCGCCGCGCGTCGTTCGGCCGACCGATCGATAACTTCGGGCACAAGTTGCACAAGTCTCTCTCTCTCTCTCTCTCTTTCTCTGTCTCTTTCTCTTGAACAATATCCGAAATTCTCCAAAGTATACGACGACAACTATCCACGTTACTCGCTAATTCCTCGCGTGACATTCGCCTTCACTTAGCCAGGCTGTCGGGGAAAAGAAGAGTATCATGAGGCGTGTTCATGCGCGTGTCCGCATGTGTGTTTGTGTTTCTGCTCTGTGTGTGTGTGTGTGTGTGTGTGTGTGTGTGTGTGTGTGCACGCGCGAACACGTTTTCGAAACACTCGGAAAACTCGTCCAAGATTGTCGGGAACAGTCTCGCGTCGCGGATTCGGCTCGAAACTTTCATCGAATAGCCCGAAGTCACGAGCCTCGAGCGGGTACTCGTGCGTCCCTCTGAATTTAATATTACCTCATAGGCATCGTCATTCACTCCGAATCTCGCGTTGCCTGCGCGCACCGCATAATCATGAGAATTTGTACAGCGCGCTCCGTTGTGTCGCTCGACAATTGTAAATACAACGACGAACGTCCGACAGTTTCTCTCGGGAACACATAGCTCAATCGGATGCACCGCGGGGCTGCTGACTCCGACCACAGATTCCATCGAGAAAACGTCCGGTCGCAAAAAAATACCGATTAAATATGCTCATATTGCGTTACCGTACGTTCCTCCCGAACGCAGTGGACTCAAATAGAATTTCAGAAAAGGCTGCAGTCTCGAAATTAATGATTGTTCTTAAAGTGACAAGTTTTGAGCTTCTGCACCTATCGAAATTCTTTGATTGAAAAAAATTTTCTCAATGTAATATGCACTACCTAATTAATATATAGGGTGTCTGACGCAAGACACGCAATACCACGTGTGAAGCGCGTTCACTGGAGCACGAAAACTCTTGCTTGCAGCTTGCAAGCAATCAATTTCGAGATACTAATGAAAAAAATAGACAAAGCAGAGCGCACGATATTGTGGGACAGGCTCTATAAACGCGAGTTCTCATCGAAAATGGTTGAGACACTGTTTCTTAGCGACATGCGTACGACACGCTCGTGATACGTTAAGAAATAATTGCTGATGCGCCGCTTGCATCATTGCACTCCGCTTTTTGCTGTCACCCAATGTCCATCCGTGCTAAGAGGCGGTCGCGTTTCCGCAATTTTCGGTGAGATCTTCTTTTTTTAATATCTCGAAATTTTACGTAGCTGTTGGTTACAAACTGCCAGGGGTTTTTGCGCTCTACCTTTACACGTGGTATTGCGTGTCGGATACTCTGTATATATATATATATGTAGTTCAATAAATTATTTTGTAGTTATTGCGACCAAAGCTTTAGATGCAACACGAAATAGTTTATTGGACTACATACGAAGCTCGTATAGATCGTCACCTGTGTGCAAATGTTGAGATCACGTTGGTCGGCTCCTCGAGAGGGAGGATACGTGGCTCCTCGGGACTGCGGCGGGTTGAACATCCCGCGGACATCCGAAATTGCATCGGTAGAGTATTAGGGCAGAAACGTGTGCCGCACCAAGTGACCGTACACAGAGACACGCGCAATCACACTACACAATCGCATACACGTTCGTCGCGACCACCGCCCTCTCTTACGCTACTTAACGGTCCTTTTGACTTAGTGGACAGTATGATTTTCGAATTGTACAACAAAACCGCGACGTGTGTTGCCGCCGCCGCCGCCGACGACGACGACGACATCGAAATAACAGACGCTGCCTACCATTTGAGGCAGAGTTTGTTGTCGTTGTTGAATTGTCTCCGTATTATTGCCTCTACAAAGTGTCACTATTATCATTATTATTATCATGGCGAATTATATATTGTATGGTTATTGTAATTATTATTCTTTCATATACGACACATGTACGATATATACGAGAAGTTGACCTTTGAAGCAAAAGGGAGACTAACGCGAGTATCTTGACTCTCTCGAGGCAAGACGGGGCGAGCGCGCGCGTTTCTTCTAGGAGAGCAATTCAAAGTGACGTTGTCATCGTCGATATTACTGCATTAACGATATTATAATTTATTCTTATAACTTCATATCGTTATCGCTGCGATTGCCGTGCGATTGTCGTCGGCGCCTTCCGCAGCGCGAAAGCCACCGTTACGTATTATACATATTATTAGATAAGCGTATCGCCGCAGATCTCACGTTCGAGGGATTTCGACGGAGAAAACCGATGATGATGCCCCGTGATTAAATTACACTGCGTATCGTAGCCGATGATCGTGACGAGTAATCGACCAGAAGAATTAAGAAAAATAATAATAATTAATTAATTAAAGAAAAATACAAGAAGCGGGACACAATGGCGAATTATATATCTATCACTGTATCGAGAGTTGTGCGCTGCGTTTACGATTTATATATATATAAGCTAGTTCATTTGTAAATAAAACAAAAAAACTATTTGACTCTTTGACTCGTCGCGTTGTTGATTGTTTCGTGCGCGACGTCCCAAGCTATCCCACTTATCCCCGATTTACAGCCGATTGTAGGCGGTTCCAGACGCGGAGAAAAGCACGAAACATGAGAGATTTACGAGGCCATAAAGCGATAAATATATTTGTCCTCGCGATTTGCTAATTTCACGGTACCAGTCGGGAAGAGGTCCAGCCGATCGCTCCCGTATCGAGGAGAGTCGTCCTCTTCGTCGTCGCGGAGGATACGCGCGTCAAGCGACGCAGGGCAGCTGTTGGTACACGAGACACATGCCGGTGTTGTCCTCGAGGCTGCCACTCGTGTTGCTGCCGGGGCCGAACGCCACTCTGATGCGAAAAGGCGTCGACCAAGTCTCCACTCGACAGTTACCCTCCGCGTCGAGCTCGTCTCGATTGCACAACGAATTGCCGCAGTGCTCCAGATTGCAGATACCCGCCATGTTATTTCCGGGCTGCAACGGATAGACTCGGTGTGCGGGCAGCGTGCGTCAAGCGAAATGCAATCTCGCCGGAGAGCGAGAGAGCACCGAAATTGAAATAAAGTCACGTACCGTGATGAACTCCTCGAAGTCGCAGGGGATGAGTATCCTGTCCCTGCATCGCCTGCTGAACGGCGGCGGACTCGTGCCGGACAGGAACACTATCTCCTGCTCGGGCGACCCCGCGCCCGAGCCCTCGGCGGCGACGACGACGTCCACGTCGGAATTGTTCGCGGATCCGGAGGCGACGTTCGGATTGACAGGCGTGGCGGCGGATGCGTCGCCACTTGTGTTCGCGATCGCGGTCGCGTTCGATATTTCCGGCGACCTGCTGGGCCCTACCCGAAAAGAGTCTCGCGTGCACGGCTGATAAGCGATACCGCACATGTCTCGCTCCTGACGCACGCACAATAGGTAATCGTGCTCGGCGAGATATCTGCCGTTCGGCAGATAATTGAATGTCCTGAGCGTGCCGTTCGGCGCGCGAAAGTACTGGAGACAACCGACCGGTGCACGTTGCTCGAAACCCAGTTGCAGCACGCGCATCTCCCACATTCGTGACTGCAGTCCGCTCGGCAGCCGGAAGTTTAAAGTGATCGGTTCGTTGCCTTCGCTCACGTCCACGTAAACTGTCGACACAGGGCGGCCGCGTGCTATTTAAATTGCTCGGAAAATATCGCGTGAGCGCGTATGCCGCCCGAGGGATCAACCCCTCTTGATTGCCAGACACTATTATTGTAGCTGTACCAAGACGATATATCGAGATTACTTTATCAGTTCCAAAACTCTGCCCGACGAGTAGAGTGGCATTTAATTGATCAATCAAAACAAAGATAACTAAGATTTCTTTATCATGATGGGTTAATTGAATGTTACTCTACCCAACGCTTTTGGAACGCAGCCCAGGATGTTAATAAAACATCGGGAGGAAGGGGGGGGGGGGGAGAGTTT